CTTCGGCAATACCTTAACCTATTATCGTCAGGGGGTAAACAAAGTCATAGAGCACTTAAATGCTCTGAAACACAATGTATACACATGCCAAAATTGAGCTATCAAGGACGTTGTTTAAACCCTGACGATAATAGGTTAAGGTATTGCCGAAGCCAACATTTCCCCTACCTCAGATAAGCTAGAGATCTTCGAGAAATATAAGAGATTTTCGATCAGGAGCCGGAGTAGGAGAAATAATCTATGAATACCAAAATCAGGTATGATAACAGCATAACTGGCAACCGGAATATTAGGGTGGCTCAACAACTCAATAGGGATAGATTTTGCCCACCAAGCCCAATCGATTCCAAATCAGGTCCTCAGAGTTCTCCCAACATTTGGGCTCATTTGATTGTGAACTCATTCTACACTAGCCCTCTGAAGTCTATATGCAAATTGCTATACGAATAGTAAACTTCTTATCGTCCAAGCCGTTCGTTCCCCATAATGAATTAAGAGTAAGTTTGCTATTTAAACTTGTGTGAAATTTTCTCAGCCACCACTTTTCTCATAACCACTTTTTGATTGATCGTCTGCATTATTAGTTATTAATTAATTAGGATGAGAATAATCTTCTGACATGCTGCATCAACTGCTCAGTAGGCAAATGTGAACAAATTATGAGAGAATGTTTGTGATGATTTGGAATTGAATGAATTTAGTGTAAAAAAATCCCCCCTTCTGAATATGGTCCTTTCCCGGCTACTAGAAACCAGTTCTGGGTATCTGGATGTGATCACTTGTTGGTCCATTGTTGGTGTTGGTATTTACTTCTGCATGTAAAATCATACATTTTGACTCGTCGGACGGTACCAGTAGATGAGGTTTTGGAAGTGTCCTTTTTAAGATCCTACCGGAACTGGTTCCGGGTATTCAAATATGGTTGTATCCACCTGTTGGTAAATTTACTTCTGGGTGATAAATCATACAATTTGAGCAGTCGGATGGTACCAGTACATGAGGTTTAGGAAGTGTCTTTTTTTTTGCCCTGCCGGAATCTTGGCAGGATGTCTTTTTACTTCTGGATGAAAAATGATAAATTTAGGACAGTCAGACTGTATCAGTACATGAAGTTTTGGAAGTGTTATATTTTGTCCTGCTAGAACCGGTTCCGGGTATCCAAATGTGGCACCACTGCATGAGATTTAAGAAGTCAAGACCAACATTTGAAAATCAGTGTTCACTCGGCTGTCGACAAAAGCAGACCACTCTCGATGTGTGCCACGCAATCGTCTGTTTTCTCGGCAGCAACCATTGTGTCGTCCTCCTCATTGTTCTTCATCAGCAGTTCTTTCGGTCGATGCGTCGTCGACTTTGGAAAGCAACCGTTTCGTGATGAGTGTGTGAGTGCTGACCACGTTTTGCGTCCATTGCTGCAATGGACGCGCTCTGACCCTCGTTGGCGTACAACAATTTGCCACACAATGAAACTACTGGAAGCGGCTCCAGTTCTGATGGAGGAGGCTTTTTGGATAGCGGAAGATAAAGTGTTTATTGTGTTGTACCTTTCGACTATAGTTTTAACATGTATTGTATAGTGACCAAGAATCCTCGGCTCTGTAAAGTTAATTCGGTTGAGCCTTATCAAATAAATTAATGGTGTAAAATTGTAAGAAGGGTAAAAAACTTTGTAAGGCCATTTTCTCACGAATCGAAACCTACATCCGCAAATTTAAAACACAATCGGGTAGAGGAGAATTTCCCCTATCTCTTCATTTTGTTGGTTTGCGTTAGCGGGCTTCGGTTTGCGATAAAATGGGCTTACAAGGCTTTTTTTACAAAATGGAGTTGAGGCCTTTTCAATTGTTGGTCTTGAAGTGTCCTTGTTCGGGCCCTGCTGGAACTTATTCTGGGAATCCAGGTATGGTCAGATGCACCTGTTTGTCCAAAGCATTATATGTTTTTACTTTTGGATGAAAAATCAATAATTTTGAGCCGTCGGACGGTACGATTACATAAGGTTTTGGAAGTATTCTTTTGGGAGCCCTGCCAGAATTGGTTCTGGGTATCCGGATGTGGCCAAATCAACCTGTTTGTTTGCAGCATGATATCTAATTACTTCTGGATGAAAAATCATAAATTTTTAGCCATTGGACACTTCCACTACATGAGAATTAGGAAGTGTCCTTTTTGGAGCCTTACCGGAACCAGTTCTGGGTATCCAGATATGGCCAGATTCACTTTTTGGTCGATAGCATGATGCCTGTTTACTTACAGTATATGAGGTTTAGGATATGTCCTATGTGGGGCCCTGCTGGAATCGGGTCTGGGTACCGGATGTGACCAGATCCACTTATTTGTTTGTGGTATGATATCTATTTACTTCTGGTTGAAACAAAATAAATTTTGAGCTGTCCGACGATACCAGAACATAAGGTTTAGAAAGTTTCCTTTTGTGCCCTATAGGAACCGGTGCCAGGTATCAAAAATGCCCAAACTGGTAAAATCCTGGAAAGGGTGCCATTCTAGGATCCTTTATTTTTCGGTGCAAAAATTGATTTTTGGGAGCGAGTTGCATTCTGGATCTTTTTGGACCCTAATGTGTCACTTTTTTTCGTAGCCCCAATCCTAGAGGTCGCTGAAAGCTTCTTTTGACAGTAAAATGTTCGTTTACGGAAGTTAGGAAAAGTGGGGAAATTTCAGGTCTCTATCATATTTTGTTACAAAGTTTCAGCTTGTTTAAAGTAATGCCGGGTCAAAAAGGTTATGTTCTCAAAACTTAATGGAAGCTAGGAGACCTTCAGAGCAGTCCCATCAACTTTTTCAGGATTGTAGGAACTTATCCGACGGAATTTACGACGGTTACAATTATTGCCTCGGGGCCTGATAGCCTAGTCAAAAAAGCACGGTATTACCAAGCCGGAAGCGGCGGGTTCGATTCCCGGTCCGGTCCAGGGATTCTTTCGTGTTGGAAATTTTCTCGACTTCCCTGGGCATAGAGTATCATTGTGCTTGCCACACAATATACAAATTCATGCTTTGGTATTGGTATCGAAAGCTCTCAATTAATAACTGTGGAAGTGCATTTAGAACACTAAGTTGAGAGCACGCAATAAGCTAATATGCGCTAAGCAATAAGCTTGAAATGCGAATAAGAAGAAGAAGAACGAGTAAATTATTCCAATAATAACAGAGTATTTTCATCAACAGACTATTGGAACTTCAGGAAAGTTTCGAGATAATCAAGGCGGTTTCATTTAATTCATTGAAAATTCAGGAACTTTCAAGATGTTCTCAAAATGTCCGGTATCGAGATAATTTAAATGATGTCCAGAAAATTTCGCAGAAATCCGGGGAAATTGAGAAAAATAGCGGAAACATTTTACAATGTTCCAAGACCTTCAGGAAACCTAGTGACTTTTGGGGCAGTTCCGATTACTTCAGCGTAGTTCCGATAAGTTATGGAACTTATCAGTCTAATAGGGGAGTTAAAGATTTGCAAAGGTTAGTTCCAGTTACTTTAGAGCAGTTTTATGAATTCCAGGAGAACTTCGAGAACCTTTTCAAAGTTCCGCTAATCTTAAGGAAGTCGTTCCCGCATATCATTTACGAGATCCACAGAAATATACCGGGAATACAACCAAAGACCGAGAAGGTTGAGGCAAGTTTAAATATTTTTAAGCAATCCATTAATTTCAGGGTGGTACCTTAAACTTATGGAGCGTTTCGAGAACAGGAAAGCTCCAAAAGCATTGGGGAATATAAAAAATCTTCACGGAAGTTCCATTAAGATTAAGTAAATTGCAGCAACTTAAAAGATGTTTTGAGTACATTGGCATGTTTATTTCAAACTTCAGCAAAGTCTTGTGAGCATCAGAAAATTCGCTAAGTTTAAAGGGAGTTATGTAGACTAAAGACCAGTTTCGAAAACATCAGAAGAACTGCAGGAACTTCAGCGAAGGCAGTTCCATTAGTTTCAGGCAACTGCTAACGTATTTCAAGCAGTCCCGAGATCTTCAGGGTAGTACATAGAAGTTCAGAGATGTTTAAAGAATTAAGGGGCAGCTTTATTAACTTTATAGAAGATTCGAGTACTTTGAGGAAGATCAGATAACTTATGAGCAGTTGCATTAATTTCAAGCATTTTGTAATATCTTCCAAGACGAAGCTAGGTATTATGTGAAATTCCAATAATTTCAGAGATTTTCCGTAAGCATCAGGAAAATTGAAGTGTTCCATAAATTCCAAAATAATTGCCAGGATATTAGGCATGTTGCAAAAATTTCATGGAAATTCAATAAAGTTCAGGGAAACTCAAGGGTTTTAAAGGAAGATCCCTAAAACATGAGAGAAAATAAGGAATGTTTATAACCTTCGAGTTATTTTGAAAAGGCTTTCAGGATAGTTTAAAGATCTTGAAAAACTAGTTCCGATAGATTCAGAAAATTTCTATTAAATCAATAACATTTCGAGAACATTTGGGAAAGTATTGGCTCATATTTGGTTTTTAATTCCAGAAAAATAAATTTAGAGCAGCCATCAAATTACAGTAACTACTGAGCAGTTTTGAAAAAAGGGAATGCCTGACGTGCAATGAACATTTTCTTATGTCCCTTCTCTAGCTCCACACCTGTGTCTCGATGTCTGGGAAAAGTAAAATACTCCCATGGTGAGACAAGAAAAATAGAAAAAGAACAACCAAAAACAAAAAGTATAAAAAACACTCTGCATGACAGGGGAAATTATTTATACACTTTTTATTACAGATTCGAGTGAGGGAAACATTGAAATTTGTATATAAATATGTAAGCGTTAAGGCCACGCCCGTCCTCTCATGAAATGTGTCACACAAATAAAACTGCCATAAAATGATTTTTTAACGACAGTCGTTGAACGACGCTGACCTCCCATCAAGCTACCGATGTCGAGACCGTAAATGGTAAGTAAATTAGCGAATGTGATATGGCACCCATCAATTCATTATTTCAAAGTGTTTTGGAAAATACGCCAAGAAGACTCACCTCTATGTCTGACGAAAGCCGAGTCCCATGTTGTCGTTTTTGCCGGTCGTTCTGGATAGGGAGATATCCCGGCCATGTACTCCCGAGGATCATCATTCTGTATGCTGTAATCCTTGGCGTTGGTTGTAGCACTGGCTCTATTTTTACTATCTTCAGCATTGGCAACATTTGCCGCATCTTGATCGTTGGAATGCTCCACTGACCGCTCAAACGAGGCCATCGGATCATCAATATGTAAATCTTGCTCTGGAAATCCTGGCACGTCCATAGATATCCCAGGTTGCAGTGTATCACCCAACCGCGGTGGATGATGGTGAGTAACATTTGAAACTGATGATTTATTACTGCCATAACCTAAATAATTAGAACTAAACGTCGACTGGGTATTGTTGAATTCTATAATCTTCTGGTAAAAATCGATATCGGCATCCGAGTGATGATGCGATCGCTTTCGAGGGCCTTTGCCAAGACCCGTTGAATTCAACTGGCTCCTAATGTACTGCTTCATCGCACTGAGAGTGATATTGTACAGATCCGGAGGAGTTCCCGGCCAGTATCGTACGAGGTCAATCGAAGAGATGGAATCGATCCTTCGATGACCATGCTGCTGATGCGGAACTACCGTCGAAGACTGCAGCTGCTGCTGCATGTGATCGGTGTTAGGCGGCAACTTTTCGGTAACTTTCCGATGGTGATTCTGAGATTGTGCCGCTGATGGCACCGCTAGGGGACTCGCCGACGAGAGCAATACAGATAGCAGCACAAAGATCAGCCCGTACGTTCGGCTGGCCCCCGCGGCACCACTGGACACATTCTGGGGGGCCACTGCGGCTGATGGGTTTCACCGAGCTTCTGCCGGTGACGTTGATAACACTAGGAATGCACGCTTGCCTTGCTTATGCTTTGATGGCCCCTCGGTGGGGCATTTGTGAGGATTTGATTTCACCGATGCAATCTTCTGAACTTGACCTGATTTCACTAGCACTATGAACATTGAAATTATGTGGAAGCATTTTCTTCTTAATTTATTCATACTGATATGCACTGGTCACACTTTGTTACACTTGCTCCTGAAAATAAAGCAGAAAACACAAATTAATTGAGACAACTATAAAAAAAAAACATTGATATCACCGACAATTTCATATAATGTCCCTAATGTCAGCCTTAATGTCCCTAATGTTGCGCCCATCATAAATTTGGTAGGAAAGCATTTTTTATAAAATTTCAAAAATATCCATTTGTCTTTTCCACTGTTATATGAATAATTGAAGAACTTGAGATCTTTATCTGTGGGCCCAATATTTAGATAAATAGATCCACATTAGAGCCATTTCCCCTAATTATATTTGAAATTTTCAGAAATTTTAACTTCTATGCTCATGCTTCAGCTCATCAAAATAGTATTTTGGATGATCATAAAGGGTGTCCCACATCAAATTACATCACGGAAAAAACGTTGTAGAAAATAAGCAATTGGGTATTTTCTCTTGAAACTTTGGGTAGAACTAGCTATGAGTGTATTGTTTACACTGTATTTTTATCGCTGTCAGTTTTTCGAAAGTTGGAAAAAATTGACGTCACCCGAAAGCAACGTTGCGAATTGATTTTGCGCAAGCACCTGGAAAATCCTCAACTCTCTCATCGGGACATCGGAAAACAACTCGGAATCGTGCAGTCAACGGAGAGTCGTGTGATTAAACGTTACTACGAAACTCTGAGCATCTGCAGGAAAAATGCGGTCAGAATGGATGTTCTATTAGTGATCAGGATCACATGCGTGTCGTGAAAGCGTTTAGGCGGAATCCCAATGCGTCGGTCAGAGATGTGGCCAAAAATTTGAATCGGTCCAAGTATTTCGTTCAGAGAGCCAAGGACCTGGAGGGACTGCATACGTACAAAGTGCAGAAGGCTCCAAATCGTGACGAACGGTAAATTACGGTGGGAAAGTCACGAGCCCGGAAACTGTACACCCAGATGCTGACGAAGCCTCATTGGCTCATCAAGGATGATGAGACTTACGTCAAGGCGAACTTCCGGCAGCTTCCGGGGATACTGTTCTTCGCCACCCAGCACAAGTGTGATGTTCCGGAGGATGTAAGGAAGCAGAAACTTTCAAAGTTTGCCAAGAAATACATGATTTGGCAAGCGATAAGCTCATGTGGCAAATGGAGTGCGCCGTTCGTGACGAGATCTACTCAAGGAGTCTCTATAGAAGCGTCTGCTTCCTCTGTTGAAGCAAGACGAGGGCCCTACAATCTTCTGGCCGGATCTAGCTTCGTGCCACTATTCAAATGTTGTCCCCAACGAACCGGAACTAAGGCTCATCGAAAAATACTGGACTATTATGATGCAGACACTACGGAAGCATCCCAATGAGGTCAAATCTGAGGAAGACATGAAGAAAAAGTGGGTTTCCGTACAGAAGCTGCTGCAGCCAGACGTCGTACATAACCTAATGAGTGGAGTTAAGCGTAAGGTGCGAGCGTACGGTTATGGTATTGAAGATGAATGAAATATATAAGCTAAAAGCTAACTAATGGGTAATATATTATTGACCATGATGGAGGTGCAAGGTTCCATTCCCGGTACGGTCTAGGAATTTTTCGGGTTGGAAAACTTCTCGACTTCCCTGGGCATAGAAGTATGATTGGACTTGCCGCACAATTATACCAATGCAAAAATGGTACAGGCATCGAAAGCTCTCAATTAATAACTGTGGAAGTGCATCTAGAACACTAATTTGAGAGCACGCCATAAGCTCATATGCGATGAAATGCGAAGAAGAAGAAGAAGAAGATTAGCTTGCAGTGGTAAAACAAACTTTGAATATTACTGGTGATGTAACTTTATATATTTAGTGCACAAATATGATAATCTATGTATCAATTGTTGAACGTGTTATGGATCATTTTCAATATGTTTATAGGTTATTTGTACATTTTAAATTTGCATTTATGAGAAATTTAGCGGTACAACTTTACATTTGTGTTGCTAAATTTTACTTTAAATATGGATCATATTGATTTTATTTATGGGCCATTCACACTTCCTTAGGGATCTTCATCAAGGATGGTTGGTTGGTTGACGATTCAATTTGGTGTTTTATTTTTATTTTTTATGAATCATTTATAAGTTTGTATTTAAAAAATAATGTTTACCGATCAGACACATCTTATAAAAAAATACTCCTGAAAAAAGCAGTTGATAGTTTTTGCTAGAGATCAGTATGAGCCTAGTTGCTTAAAACTGAATAATGTAATTTAACCTTCAGGCTGATGAGGTTTGTCTCAAATTATGTAGACATACCATGAACCTGATGACTAAAGACAAGCATAGTAAATACTACGAGGGGGTCGTATTACAGAGTGATTTAGATTAACTTTCATCGATTTCACAAATATGCAATTCTCAATGGGTAAAGATTTTTTACAGATTTTTTGTTTTAAGTGTGTTTTTTTTAGTCGATCGATCGTCAATCGGTTTGGACGCGTTTTTTAATCGTTCCTAGCCACGTGCGTTCTGTGCTTTTTTTTTGCGTACGTTTCGTTCTCGCTGTAGTAATTTCGCGCGATAGCTGTTGGTTCCGTTCATTTCAATATGAATTGTGAAATTTGTTCATTTGACTCTTCCGTTGATTCGCTGATGTGGAAATGCACTGGCTGCATACGCACATTTCATGCAGCCTGCGTAGGAGTGACCGTGCAGAGGAATTCACTACGCAGGAAGGACAATAAAAAAGTAGGGGATTTTAATTCTTATCTTCTACCATGCTGCGAATCGTGTCAAGAGCATCTGCAAGCAAAGTTAGAATTCAATCAATTAGCGGCTCAACAAAAACTTCTAACGGAGCAACTGCATGCCAACACAGAAGTGACACATCATTTACGAAACAGAAATATATTTGCTACAAATCGTCATCGTACGAATTATGCCAAATTTGGACCCTTGAACCAAATGATGGATACATATAATAAGCACTGCGATAACATTGACTTTACAATGACAAAAACTAAATTAAAGCAATATTTTAATTCGTCGCATAACGTCAACTAGAAGTAATATTTTAACTTTTTCTTAAGACATATTATAAAAAATATAAACAAAGACAAAATTGTAAAAATAGCACTTAAGACAACAATTGTAAAACGGTCTACACTGATTGACGACAAATAAAATAGAATAAATAAATAAAAATAAATAAATATCAGCTTGTGTTGATAATAGGATTTGAATTTTATTTTGGTTGCGATATCAAGCAGCCATTGCCGTGAAAATGCAGCATGTCATATATCTGTATAAAATCGTATTATCTTCTAGAAACTGAAATCTCTTCAAAATAATGAAACATTTATTTTTCGCATCATTATAGAGGTTAAAATACCCATTTTGAAGGATTTTTTCAATGAACTTAGTTGTATTTAAGAGATACAGATAAAGGGATGAGGTAAAGAGAAGGTGCTGTTACCATACCTGATTCTGGTACCCATAGATTATTTTCTCGAGTGTACCCTATTAGGCATAAATACGTTAGGCATACGGACGTTAGGCATAAAGGACGAAAGGCATAAAGTCATTAGGCATAAAGTCATTAGGCATAAAGTCATTAGCGATACTTCCATGAACAGTTATGAGTTGCTGAAACAAACAAGGAACTGTGGCAAACGTACCATCTGCAACCCAATACTTTGCCTGTCCAAGACGTCACAAGCAAGTTGTCATAAGTCCCAAAACTTAAGGCTCTTTCATTATTGTCACCGATGTCAGCAATCAATAGACGGACCCCATTATCATCCTGCTGGAATTCATCAGGTAGATTATGCCTATCGTCTTTTATGCCTAACGTCCAATATGCCTACCGTACATTATGCCTAACGTCCGTATGCCTAACGTCCGTATGCCTAACGTCGTGTACCCTATTTTCTCCTACTCCGGCTCCTGATAGAAAATCTCTGAAATTCCCCAAAGATCTCTAGACCTAGCTTATCTGAGGTACTTGGAACTTCTTTAAAGCTTCCAAAATATTCTATAAGATCTCTCTACATCTCTGAAGTTGGCGGCGGGGGTGTAGTGGTAAGCGTGATAACCTCTCACCCCAGCAGGTCCGGGTCCAATCGCAGTTGGCGCCGCCGGGATGTTCTGAGGCATAACATCTCTGATCCACACCTTCCTTCGGAAGGGAAGTAAAGCCGTTGGTTCCCGGTTCATGAGTTGATTGGTCAATAGGTAGGGTCCAGATGTGGGAGCTGCCTCCCTGGCGTCCCTGGTGTATGAAATAAAATGCAAATGCAATATTATACGATAAAGGCACTTGTGGTTAATCAGAATATTTTAATTAAAAAAAAAAACATTAACTTTTATTTTCGCAGTCTAGAATGTTATCCACAATGAACTCAAAGTTGAGGACAAAAGATTTTTATCGACAATAAATAATTGACAACATTCTATTTCTGTATTTACATTATCAATATTACTGTGAATAATTACCCCTCGCGTTACTATATTGATACGTGTGGTGCTCGCTGAAGAAAGACGATCAAGTTTGATTATCCATCCGTTTTAATTATACTGCCATGAATCATCACCACAGGCCCGGTCTCATTAGGAATTAATCCTAATCACGTCACCCAGTAAATATTATTAGCAAAAGGCGCAAAAGTTCTGACGACCTTCCATCACTCGACCCAACTCTTCCCTGCATTCCTCGCAACGATCCCAGCCCAGACGGCAGACGTCTGTTTCACTCGATTTGCCGGCGGCAAACGATTTCCCGTCAAAACAAACGCTTAGGCGCATGTGCGAGGTCCAAAAATTTGGACGTCTTAGTCGGCATCCGTTTTTTGCTTCTGTCTAGAATGCTGACGACAATTTGATTCCTCAAGATGTTTACATTCGGTTAGGACATTGCTTGGTGAAACGTAATTGGAGCATCCCTAGGCGCTTTTTTGAAATATATTTCACCCGTGATAGGCTACGATTTTTTTTGTTGGGTCGACTGACAACGACGGCGTCGACGGTAATGCCAAGTTTTTGAGAAAAATGTCTCGTTCTTTAAATAGGACAGTGAATT